TCATATGTACACATTTTGGATTTCCTACTTAGTTAAACTTGGTTAAATTCAGGACCTCATAAAAATGCGAATACATGTTCTATTACATTTGGTTCCTAAATTACAATCAGATATGAGTAAGGCTTTCTTCAGGTGATTCATTGAAGCGTCCAACAATAACCGTCATGATAGCTGATGTTCCCTATCACTTCAAGATTTCTAGGACATAAATCTTGGACGGATGTGACATCACTCATGAAATTGAAACTCCTTGTGTACTGGACTGCAACAAACGTGAAGTTCCAGTTTCTTTGCTATAAGTTTTGTGAGAGCTGATATCTGTACTCTTGAAATTTTTATGTGGTAATGAGATTGTTCAGAAATAAGGTTTCCTCAGCGATTCAACTTCAAAACGCTAAAAATAAATGCACACACAAAAACGGAGTGTACAATTTTGCACCAATGTTATGCAACATTTCATAGTTGATTGGGATGATATCAATTAGCCATGAATCCTTCCAATAAGTTCTCGGTACATCTTTTATCTACCGATTGAATAAATAAAAAAAAAATACTAAAGCTGTGGTTCATTTGGAAAATGTTCACTTAGATTTGGCACTTCGAAAATAAATTAAGATGTTCGAAAATCCCTCTGTTGTTGATCGGCCGATTTTAGAGAAAGCGTCTGTCAAAATTGATTCCTTGTCTGTCAGAAATAAGTCTGCTGGAACAGCAGGTTGATTTGAAAATTTGCCATCTGTCAAATTTAATAAAATTTCATCAAATGGAACACATCCTTAGGCTGTGTTCCATTTGGTGAATTTTCACTTAAATCTGACACTTCGAAAATAGATTAAGATGTTCGAAAATCCCTCTGTTGTTGATCGGCCGATTTTTGAGAAGGTGTGCGTCAAAATCGATTCCTTGTCTGTCAGAAATGAGTCTGGTACAATAGCAGGTTTATTTAAAAATTTTCCTTCCGTCAAATTTAAGTAAAAATTCGCCAAATGGAACACATCCGTGTTTGTCGTATTAGATGCTAGATAAAAACTTCTTTTATCGATATGTGTGCTGAAAATACCTGGGCCGAGTGGATTCAAGGAGAAAGTCGACGAAGAGAATCTTGTTAGTGTTACTTAGGACCTAATTCAGCTTGAATTGTTTCGCTTAGCTGTAGCAATGTAAACAGCAAATCGATGAAGAGAATCGAAGATTACAAGTAGGCCCTTTTGAACGCTCACTGTCGAATTTCAGAACCTAGCACTGACAAAACCTCGACGGTACCTCTATTTATGCTAAGAGATAAGCATTGCAAGTCCCTCCTACTTGAAGAATAATGCAATCGAACGGCTGGCTATGCCTCGCCCCTTTGCTGATAGTTGTATAAATGCTGGGGTTGCATAAACTGTTCTATATCATAATTTTCCAAGTAGGAGGGACTTTCATAGCTAATCTTAAACCATAAATAGAAGAACCGTCTGAAAAAGAAAACTGTAGTCTGTGTAGGAAAATCCTTTTTATCACCACAGAAACACCCCGTTCCCGTTTTCTTATGCAAAATAATGAATGTGCGTTCACAAAACGCACGAAATATTAAAAAAAAACATATTTAGATTTTTTTTAATTCAATCAGTAGATTAAAGATGTACCGAGGGATTTCAAGCTAAAATGTTCTGATCGCGAAATATTGACGAACAATACCAAAATTTCGCATAAATGTCCAACCCGTTTAATGTGGTGTGATGTAGATTTTCAGTGTTGCTCAATGATTAGGGAACTTTCATAAATAACGTAGTAGTTGAGGGAGAAGAGAGGTTTCAGAAGTTGGGACCGACCATGTATTAGGTGTATTGCAAAACACGCTCCGTGGGGGAAGGGGGGTTAATTGGTAAAAAAATACACGTAATTTATGGTGTCGCAATGGGCGAGTTAAATTTAACTCGTAGTTAAAAGTGACAGATGAGTTATCGAATAACCCTGCTATACAAGCGTGGTTATTTCGTACCGACTAGAAGTTAAATTTTGGTAACCGTGGCTGAGTTCTGTTTGAAAGCTGATCAATTTCCGGGATTTTCGAACATTGAAAATAACTTTCGAAATGTCACGTTTAACCACGAGTTAAATTTAACTCGGCAATTGGTACACAGTCCAAGAAGTATTTCTTGATTACTTTTTTGAAGGTACGTATCAGCTTTTGTAAACAACGCATTTGATCGTCGATTTGGCGTAACTGGTAGCTCACCCACGCATGCTAACACTACCATTAGATAGAGGAAATTTTCCCCTACCTGATATAGTGGTGTTTGTATCTGGGGGGAGCTATCAATTATGCCGAACCGACTATAATATACGTTGTTTACAAAAGCTGATACGTCCCTTCGAAAAAGTAATCGAGATTTGTAGTTGTCATTCAGGCAAGGAGCGCTTGCACCATCGAGGCGACGCCGCTACTAGTGATCTCGACGGGAACGACGCGCAAAGTTCGAGGTGCAAAACTCGACAGGAACCACCTTCTTACTGCTACTACCTGTTACCTGCTAGACGGAGACGAGCCAGCCAACGGCTGAAAGTCTCCTTAATAAAGATTTAAAAAAAAAAAAAATGTTACCTGCTACCTGCTTACCCGCCGTCCGAAGCGAAAATGAGTTGAGGCACATTAGCAGCGCTGTTTTATAACTTTTCAGATTCAAGCAGCACGATGTGCAACCAAATAGTACTCGATTATCACGACTGGGTTTGGGGAGGACGTTTATTTCATGTAAACAGTGATAAAATTATCACTTTTTATTTGTACATTTTTAAAACAATTTTTTTATGAAAAATTGAAAAAAGCTTTTGTTATAACAGCTTACGAAAGTTATTTCCTATCGATTGGTGTATTTGGATTTTAATTTCATCTATAAATGACAAAATTATTAGCGTTCAAAACCTTACACCTTTTCGTGACGGTCGCAATTTTAGATTTTCGATTTACTCCCAGTACCTTCCCGTAAGACGTAGTCTACGTCAAAAAATCAGCTAAATTAACAATTCTTTAAATCTCAATCTCATTATTTTATAATAATTTATGTCATTCCTGACTTGACATATTGGACAGTGTTGCCATTTTGGATTTTGAATCAGCTTACCCGAGGTTAGAGAGGTACATTGTCGAAGGATAGGTTCAGGGGAGGAGCTTGGGGGTATCTTAAAGATGCTACTAGTAGCATAAAAATCCCCTTTCCCTAGTTTTAGATATAGAAATTACGCATTACGTATTTTTCAGTGAAAATCGTTTATAACTTTTCAACAAAATATGTGCCATTAAAATTTAAGAATGGATCCACAACATTTTACGTGAATCAATGTTTTAAAAGTTACTGTTGAAAAACCGATTTTATTAGAGCCACCCTAAGTTACTTATTAAAAATCAGTATTAATTGTGAACCATTAGTGATAGAACATTGCTTTCTTGAGGAAAATTGTTTCAAAAAACTTGTTCTACAACTTTGTTCAACATTATGCTGGTCTATCTTGAATAACTAAACAGTTGATATTTGGAACTCATCAGCTGTAAGGACCACTCTAATGTATTGCACATCAAAAGATAGGCCAACCCTAATAAAAATACCATAAACCAACAATAACCCTAATGATAGAACTATTCCACAAATGGATTGGATGATACCCCTAACTCGTCGTTAAGCAAAATAACCATAACAATTTTATTAAGGAAAATAAATAACATATTTTTCCGGAAGATACTTTATACATAAAGCTAATATTTTAGGCACAAACAATTTATTTTACCTAAATACGGATCTAGACTACTGTTGTTTGATGTTAAGGATTCAAACCAAGGTTGCAAAGACTCATTTCAACTTAAATAATGTTTTTCGGAATAATAAAACCAAAAGATGGTATGATGGCATGTTTTACTTGTAACTTACAAGAAGAGGTTACAAAGTATGCGTTGGAAACATAAAACCTGTAAATTTTGCTTTCTATGAGTCACAATCAGCGATTTGCTGATCGCTGAGTGAGTGAGTGAGTGAGTGAGTGAGTTTGTGAAAAATCGCTGATTGTGACTCTCATGAAGTGAAATAAACAGGTTAAATATGTCAAACACATTCTTTGCAACCTCTTCTTGTATCCTACCAATTCAAAATTTGATCATGGCATCTAATTATTTCATAATTTAGAAAAACATTGTTTTAGCTGAAATGAGTCTTTGCAACCTTGATTCAAACATATTTTGTGGCATCAAGTTGATGAATAACACCTGGTGTGATATGGTGGATGTCACCCTCATTCCTATTTTCTACGATTTTTTAACTACAGTAAAACATTCAAACCCACTCATATATTTATTTTTTTAAATAACACAAACGCGTCAAACTTCAAGCATAGCAAATTAACGACACTAAATACCTCGTCGAAACCAATAGATATAATTTATAAATCATTCAATGAAATTGTCGCATTGCAGATCACAAATAATTTTTGAAAAAAGTAGCGTCTTTTCATTCGACTCAACTGAGGGCACATATTATCTGGAACAGCTTCAGACACAATGGTAGTCGTTAATTTAAGAGACAAAAATGAGCAGCGATTTTTTACTTTTTGTTTGTGAATTACTCTGGGTTTCGTTCTCGAATATCTGTTCGACTTCCAATGGCATCAACGATAATAGAGCTCTGTATTGGATATTCAGTTACGGGGCCACCAATTTTGCATTATATACCGCAGGCATCTGTATAGGAGGCCCTGAAGATTTTGATGGTATTTTGTGAACAAAATTCTACATTGAAATTGAAGTTCATTTTCGTCTGGCCATGTAGTATTTAGGTATGAGAGGTGATGCATAAAATGGTTAAAAAAATATGCTACATCATTTAAACATGGCCTCTATCAGGGTTGTTACAGATATTCACAGTGAACTCTATGCAGTTAATATAGTATAATAAATGACATGCTAAAAACTGAAACACGAACGATAACATGGATTTCGGATTCTTAGTCACATCAAAGTTCCCATCATGTAGACCAAAACAAATTTTAAAACTTTTATTAAATAAAACATCCTTTCTTTGTGCTTCCGCATCGTTTCTCACAGTTCGTTTCCCGAATGCATAATATATTCAATTCCAGCATTCTCTCTCTCTCTCTCTCTCTCTCTCTCGCTCGTTCGCCCTCAAACTTGCGTAGAAAGTCGCAAAATCAATAACCTAGTTGCTAAAGATCATCGTCTCGTGATAACAGTCACGCTTTGGCGTAGTTTCTTTTTACCTCTCTCGAATGTATGATTGTTTGCGTTAATCTAAGATTCACATATCACTAATAAAATTCAACAGAAGAAAAACAATACAATCATAACCGCCTCTAAGAATGATATAACCTGCATATGAGTTCTTTTTTTTAAAGATTTAAATTGTTTCAGTACCTACAAGTTACAAATCCATTTAATGATCATCGGGCCCGATTATGACGGCTGCGCTTTGAGTGCCACATTACCCATAACTCATGCTCAACTTGACCTAGTTTCGCGTTTCGACAGTAATGAATGAGTTCGATATTTATTCGATAACTAATTTGAACTATTACTTCCGAAAATTAATTATGTACACGATTTATTTAGAATAACGCTTTCTCCCACCCTCAGCTACCATTCCGGTCTGGTCTAGTCTCTTCGTGGTCCGTTTCGGTACAGCTCGTTATCCTCGCTATAACGGACGCGCTGCTCGTGAAACTGTGGTTTAACTCATGGATTTTAACCAGCAGCGAGCGCACGTTCAATATATCATTCAAATTTTCCAAACACGCCAACTTCCGCTACGGCAATTAATTAATTTGGTGTATTGAACACATTTATTATGGTAATATGTATGCTTTTAAAATTGGAAAAAATCTTCCATTCAGTTATCCTTCGTTATATTTAGGAGAAATATGGGTGCGTGAATGAATGTTCCATGAAACGATGAACGCACGCGTAGCTAATGATGATTTATGCCTTATGCGTCTGGTTATGATGCCGCCATGGGTGGGTGGGAGCTCGGTTTCGCTCCAGCAGCGAGCGAATATTTATCTTGATGGTGTGATAATGAGGCGCAAGCTGGGTAACTAGGAAAACAATCCCTCCAGCAGATGAATCGAGATGCACAGGAAAAAACGCATTATCTTAAACTTTAGTCAAACGGATGTGGTGATCTGTTCCACCACCTGAATAGGCCGGGTCGGTCGGCAAAAGTTTACCCCGTTGGCGGTGGTCCAGTGGCAGTGGTTCCAGTGACAATCGGCTGGTCCCCGATGACTGTGCGCTAGGCCCTCCGGAACGCTCCGGCTCCGGGAGGGATTGTTCTGCAGTCCGTTGGCGCAGATGTAGCCGGGCGGTGGTGGGTGAACTGCGGCCACCGATGGAGCACGGCGATGGGATGGTGTGTTCCGCTGGGGTGGGTTGTGGACTTCGCATCTGTGAATTATTGTGGATTGTAGTGGATTATCGGTTGAAACATAAATGTTGAATAGATGAATGTTGGAGCAACTGGCTTCGATTATCTGATTTGATGTATAATTAGTAGATCTATATATTTCCTTGCAGGGCATTGTAACCGGCCATTTGTCATTGTTTCGCAGATACTAAATCATACTGATGTGACTTTAGTGGCGTACTTTTCAACATGAGCCTAAAGCAAATGGCTTAGACTTATACCTACGTCTATCTAATGACAGTAATTTATCTGATGCTTGAAAATAACAGGTCAAGTCATTTTGAATGTTTGAATGATAATTTTTCTTATGTGCATTAGAGTGATGTAACATTTGAAATTTTTGCTCTACAGTGCTCAAACGGTTAGAAATCGGGTCTTGACCATGCTCGCAAAATTGATCTAATTTACTAACTGTGCACAAACCATTTGAAGTTTACATAAAAATTACTGTGGGAATTTTTTGGACAAATATTTCTAACAGTACACCAGATTTAAAACATTTTATAAATGCTGTGCTGGTATGAAATGTTTTCAGCTACAACTTAGCAGAGTTGCATTGTGAAATTACTAGTAGTTTTAAAAATTGAGTCGAAGGAACACGTGAACATTTTACACACTCACCTCAACAACCCACATCTTTCGTACCGAGCCATCGGAAAGATGTTGGGAATCCAACAATCTACTGTTTCTCGTGTCGCAAAACGTTTCGAAGCACTTCAATCGTCTCAAAAATATGGTGTAATATTGCTTTCCAAAAAAAAACAAAATGATCATTAATACAGTGCATGAACTGACATTACGCTGCTTATACTGCATTTGTTTATTTTTGTGGCCATAAAAATACATGAGACATGATTGTAGTGCATCCTCTTGGATGTAATATTAAAAATTATATATTACTGTGCAGCAAGTAAAAGTGTTCCGTACTGCTTTGAACATCACAAGTAAATGGTTGCTACTTTGACAAAACCACACTGCTGTATCATGGACGATGAAAGCGGAGTTCAAACAAATTCCGCGAAACCAGTGTGTTAGTTAGTTTATTATCTTTATTAAGGAGACTTTCAGCCGAACGCTGGTTCGTCTCCGGGAAACCAGTATGTGACTACGAAATACAAGTTCTTTGTCTCATAGTCCCTCAGGAAACAGCAAGTTTCGAAGTTCCCCAAGAAATTCATGATTTGGCAGGCGATTTGTTCGTGCAAAAAACGGAGCAAACCTTTTGTAACAACTTAAACCGTAAATGGCCAAGTCTACATGAATGAGTGCCTGAAGAAACAACTGCTTCCATTTCTCAAATAACACAACGTTCTTACAATTTTTTGGCCAGATCTAGCCTCTTGTCACTACTCCAAGGATGTTCTGGAGTGGTACAAAACGAATGGGGTAAATTTCGTGTCGAAGGATCTCAATCCCTCAAATACACCGGAGTTGTTGTCGATCGAAATATGCTGGGCTATAATGAAGCACGAACTCCGTAAGCATCCTAAAGTTGTCACTACGGACCAGAAAATGTTGAAATCATGGTTGAAACAGAAAAATTTGTCGATTTAACCGTGGGTGGAATTAAGAAGAAATTTCGAGCATTTGGATTTGGTGAAGAAATAGAGTGAATTAAACATACGTAAACAAAATTTTTATATAGTATTGAATTCCCTGAAAATTTCATGCCAGTCGGTTGAGAGACTTATTTTTGGCGAGTACTTTTAAGCAGTGTTGGGAAAATATCAAAAAAATCAAATCTCACCATTGCCCAAGATCACGCTTGATTTTCATAGACAAAAATCAACAAGCAAACAACTGGGGTTGATTTTGCAAGCTGTGATATCGCAGTTCGGAATATCAAGCTAACAACAGCTGCAAATCTCAACAAACTGTGGTGAGATGAAGTTTCATGATTTTTGCTTTGCACCCGAACCCAACCGAAACTTATAAAACCGCTGTCAGCAGTCCACTCGTGTCTCCCATCGGTGAAGAGTAAAAAGAGATAGCAAACTATACTTTCTCTTTCTAAGAAAACGATGTGCAACGGACGATGAGTAAACTCTTAGCTTGATTTGACTCAATATCAAAGGAGCTTGTAAAATCAATATCAAGTATGATATTTTGTTCCAATATCACGCGTGATATTGAGAGCGTATGAAAGCGGAAAAATATCATTTGGTTGATGATTTTGCCAGCCCTGCTTCTAAGTGATACAATATAACTGTGGAAACCCTTTATTATTAATTTACGCAATGCATATTTTTGTTTGGATCATAACGTATACATATAGGGTTTTTGATCTAATTTCATTGCCACTAAGCACAACCCGCGCTTTTCCTCTTTTTTTGTTGAACGGGTTTAAACAAAAAATGGAATATTTCTGTCAAATATGACTTCTAAATTGATTCACCTTTACATACGTACCGTTGGATTTGATAAAGAGTCACATTTTTTTTAAGGCGTTGTTTTAAATCTAATACTGCTTCTTGATTCTAAATTCGTTCTACGAGTTCTACTAACGCATTGAAATGCCATTAGATTTTATTCGTCCTGCGGATAAACGTAGAAAAAGAGGATTCGCGCTTCTTTTGTTTTGAGAACAATAAGCGTAAACATTCATACAATGCGCTCTAACAGGATTTATGTTTTAGCTAATGAACGAACGCATCGGAACAAACCTATTATTGATTATTGCATGATGAAATCATTGATATTATTGGTCTTTTCTGATTGATAGAACGGAAATGGGTGATTACGACGAAGTAGTGCTCTACCCTACTGAAAAAAAAAACAATATAGATACAACGAAAAATGGAAAAGTTACAGACAATTGTTGATGTCCGTTGAATAGCTTGAACAGTCCTTAGTCATGAAAATTTGCATATACAGTTTGGTCGAAAAAGGGTGGGATCATGTCCTAAGAGGCGGGAGGTTTTGTTTTGAAACTTTATAAAAATTATATATATTTAAAAAAATATTAGTAAAAGTAAAGTTTTCTTTTGAATAGAATTCTGATGAATTCTTTTTTGTGTGACTTTCCTATTCTACGGTCAAACACAGGGGGTAAGGAGTAGGGAGTCATGCACATTTAGCAGGCAGTGGATGTAAGCGCAAAATTTTGGAAGAATAAAATCCATTTATGATTTTGTTTTCTATTTTTAGGTGTGTATTTCTTTCAGTGTACTTTTTTTTAATATTTTCTATTTATAGTAAACACAGTTCTCAACTCTTTGTCTCTTGGAGGCAACTAAATGGTTACTAATATTTCTTTTGTGCGTCCCCGTCCATGTCAATTCCATGCGTTCATTGTGAGCTGGGTAGTGCGGAGTTAATCGATTTTATTTTGCAAGTCAATGGAAAATTGCTTGAAAATTTTCTCAAGTGTTGAATTTGTTTTGCTATTTCTCAGTTCATTCCCACAAAAAGCTCTGAGCCAGGAGTGCTCGAGCCCTCATAATAAAGTCTGTTTAAAGTTCTAATAAAGCTGTTTCGCCAACGTATGTTTTATTGTGATTGAGAACCCAGCTGAGCAATAAAAACTGTGCGCTCTCGTTACGTAGCCTGTTGGTTTCTACTGTTGAGCTTACAATCAAAAATATGTTACGAAAAATAATTGTTGTTTTTTATGAGATAACAACATTTTGTAATGGATAAGAAGAGTAATTCGTTTTGAGGCTTCTGAAAGTTTGGGTCCCGTTTGACAGATTGTAAGGGTTGTAATTTAGGAACATACACACATTTTAATTTCTTCAAATTAAAACTAGAGTACGGGTAAAACTTGTCTGCAATAAGCATAAAACCTAAAAATACTTTTTTTTCTGATATTGTGAACGGTGGATAAAAATGCTAAGATGTTTTATGTGAGACTTTTCAGTCCTGCAGTGAATTAATGGAACTGCTCTGAAGTTCTCTGATCTTCCTAAAAGTACTTGCAACTTCCTTGAAAATAATGAAATTACCTAAAAGTTTAAAAACTTCTCTGATAATCTTTGGATTTCCCAGAAGATCTCTGATCTGAAAAGACGAACCAGTCCTCTTTCTAATAATGAAAATAATAATCTCGAAACTTCTCTTAGAAGTTGAACACCTTGAAGTTCTTTGATTTCCCTAATATTCTCTGATTTCCCCTTATATTCCCGAAACTACTCTGAAGCTCTCGCAATTCTCCAGAAGTTTTTGGTACTGTCTTGAAATAAATGGAACTGACCTAAAAGTCTTGAAACTTCCCTGAAAATCTCTGGAATTCTGTAAACATGTAAACACATGTTTGAAGTTTTCTTAACTTCGAACGAGTTATGAACCTCGTTTGAATTCCCAGTACTTCTTAAAATTCCCCGACATTTTCCTGAAATGCATGGAACTGACATTAATTTATCGAAACTAACGTTTAATACCCAACCGTCTGGACTTTCCTGAAGCAATTGAGACTGCTCTTGAGATCTCTGTGCTTATCTGCAAATCTCTAGACGTAGCTTCTTTGAGTTTCTTGACTTACCTTAAGTTCTCTGAACATCCCTGAAGTTCTTAGACCTTTCAAAAGTTTCTGCAGTTTCTCTAAATCTCATGGAACCACGTTGATGTTATGGACGCTGCTCTTAAGGTGCCGAATTTTTAATTACGTTATCAGAACTTCTGTTATCATCTCGCAGTCTGTTCATGAAACTTCCCCGAAATGCTCGGTATTTAATTCATAATTCTTCAGAACATCTTGATAATTCCTAAAATAAATCTTTCTCTGTACTTCTGTGATTTCTCGAAGCTTCTGTGACCAGGGTTTGAAACTGTTGACATTTTTACTACACTCGCTTCGTTGTCGTGCGCGACAGTCTATTTGTATTCGTACTCTAATGCTCTATCGTCGTCTTTCTCACACAACACAAACGGTAGAACAACTTTTGAGCAAAAAGAAAATTATAAAATAACTATCATATGACATATTGGATTTCGTTCTTATTCCTCAATTTGGTGTAAATTAAACTATTTATGATCAGAAATG